ATCACTGGGCTGACGTGGCTGCGAAGGCGGCTGCGATGACCCACTCCCGTCCGTCGGAGAACGGATTTCTGAGTTTAGCCTTGAAACATCCAGCCTTAAGTGTTTCCTGATTTGTGTGGCCAAAGCTCTGTTGCACTGGTCAACTCTTGCGCCACCCAGGCCCAGCAGCCGTCTGGGCAGGGCAGGCACCCCCCGCGCTGGAGCAGCCAGCGCCGCCACTGCTGGAGGCAGTGCCGCCCGAGCCGCCACCGTCAGCGCCGCCGACGAGGTGCTGGGTGCGGCTGGCCTTGGGAGTTCCAAGCTCCTCCCCTCCCCCCAGGGGTGCCCCCCCTCCTCCTGGCCCTCCTTCGGCTGGGGGCCCTGCGGGACCGTCCCTCGTGCCTTCTGTTGGCGGGGCGCAGGCGCCCCAGCGAAGAGAGAGAGGCCATCAATTCAGGTGGATTCGAGGCCTGTGGGCCTGCACGCGCTGTCTCATCCGCGTGCGATCGGACCCTCCGCAGCCTGCTGCGGACTGCTTAGGCTTCAACCCTGTGTTGTGTGCCCTTGTGCAGGAGCCCCAGGGGCACAAAATCCACCTGACGGGTACCCCTGATGGGGTCACCCTATTCTGTTGCATGGACTGTGGCAGTGTTTCCGAGGGAGTGCGGCTGGGTGGACTTGGGAAGGCCTGCAAGGGCGGGCCTTCCTCTAACCACACGCGTGGCAACCTATCTCGCATTAGAAGAGGCATTCATCCCAACAATAGGGATGTGCTGCTTGACGAGCTAGTGCCTCTTGCGGACTTCACCTGTGCTGCGGACAGCGGTGGTTCGGTTTCGACTGGTGAGGTGGGGAGTTAGTTGCTGTTGTGCCCTTCCCCCTGGGGGTAGGGCCCTCTAGTGATTTCCTCTCTACCTTGCTGGTCTTAGCCCTTGCGATGCGACGTGTCAAATCACATCAAACTCCAAGAGGCCCGCCACGAGGCCTCGAAGAAGCCTTCGAGAGGCACCCCGGAGGAGACCCCTTCGTGCATACAGGAGGGCCTCTGGTCCACGATCGGGGCACGGTGGCGGGATGAGCCGAAGGCCACCAGCTTGCCATCGCTCGGACGTCCATTCCCCGTGCAATTGTCAGCTTCGTCCGCTCTTTGTCTTGCTCCGCAAGGTTGCGAGACAGGGATTCATCCATATCCACCGCCTGGGAACTGACGTCCTGGTGCCCCAGCGGGCGTTGGTTGGATATGGGTATGTTTTGGCCCCCGGGAGCTCGAATATAACCATATCCACCGCCGATCGAGGTCCCCGAAAACTGATCCTCCAGGCGGCGGTCATGTGTAAATTCCCGCCTCGGAAAGGTGTTCCAGGAAGCTCCTCGATGATCCTCGCCGAGAAAAATCACCCACACCCGAGCGATGATGGGCCAGATGAAGGGGCCACGCGGGCACGATGCACTTCGATTGCACATGTGCGCGGGAAAATGTGCTCGAAGCTGGCAGCTTTCGGAGGCGTGGGGAGGCTACCGGGCCCGACCGGACCTGGCGCGCTCCCCCAGACCGCCGACCATGGCATCTCGAAGGTGGAAGTCAGACGAAGTGGGCCACGCTCGAGCCCCAGGACCATTGAGAAGATGCCCAGCACCACTAGAAGACGAGCAAAAAACTATAAGCATGAACTTTTGACGCTCCGCGCGGGTTTCTTGGATCTGCGCTGGACCCCCCTCCCTGGCGCGCAGAGCGCGCCGGGAGCGGCGCCGGAGGCGCCGCCGGGGGGGGGGGCGCGGATCCAAGAAATCCGCGCGGGGCGCCGAAAGTTTCTGTTTATAACGGTTTTCTTCTTCGACACACAGCCCGCCACCGACCTCGAGAGCTGGCCCCGTGCAGGACCTGCACCGAGAGAGAAGGCACGACCGAAGGCGCCAGGGCCCCTCCCAGCGGGCGAACCGAGCCTGTGACGAGGCGGCGGCGCCCCCGGGCACGCCGTGACGCCAGCATCCCGTGGGTCCCCGCCTCGAATCGGCAGCGCCCCGCGCCTCCGCGCCACGCGGCTCACCTCCTCCCCCCTCCTCCCCTCCCTGCCTCCGCCCTCCTCCCCCTCCTCCCTCCTCCCCCCTCCTCCCTCCTCCCCCCTCCTCCCTCCTCCCCTCCCTGCCTCCCCTCCCTCCCTCCTCCCTCCTCCCCTCCCGGCTCCGGTGCAACCCCCCTGACGCCTCTTCGAGGCCCCGTCGACGCTCCACAGGGAGGCCCAAAGGGCAGGGCTCGCATGCCTGACCGCGCCCATTCTGGCACACCCCTCGCACGCTTCGTGGCCCCACAGGGGCTCCACGACGACAGGCCCACATGGCTGGGCTCGTGTGCCTGGCCACGCCCAGCCTGCCATGCCCCTCGCGCGTTTCGTGGCCCCCTGCGAGCTCCAGGGGAGGCCCCAGGTGGCAGGCTGCGTGTGCCTGACCACGCCCTGTTCTCTCGCCCCTGCCACGCCTGCCAGGCCCCACGAGGGTCTCCGCCGAAGGCCCCAGTGAGCACATCAGCACGCGGCCCCCCGCCCATCTCGCCCGCCCAAGTCGTGCTGTTCAGGCCCCATGGGGAGCTCCACCTAAGGCCCCCGTGGGTGTGCCCACATGCGGCCTCCGCCCAGTTCGCTCGACCCTGCAACATTCTTCATGCCCCATGATTACGGAGCTCCAGCCAAGGCCCCACTGGATGCGACCACATGCGACCCCGCCCATTTCACTCGCGCATGCCACGTATTGCAGGCCCCATACGGAGCTCCACCCAAGGCCCCAGTGGGTGCGACCACATGCGGCCCCGGCCCATTTCACTCGCGCCTGCCACGTTTTGCAGGCCCCATACGGAGCTCCACCTAAGGCCCCAATGGGTGCGACCACATGCGCCCCTGCCCATTTCGCTCGCGCCTGCCCCGATTCCCAGGCCCCATAGGAAGCCCCACCAAATGCCCAAGTGGGTGCGTCCACATGCGCCCCCTGCCCATGTCGATCGCTCCTGATCTGTTTTTGTTCAGGCCCCCTAGGGAGCTCCAAGGCAAGCTGTACAGAAAAATTGCTTTGCAAGCAGACGATTGCTTGGTGAAGCGGGTGGTGTGCAACGCTGATAGCACACCCAAGGACTGGGCCTTCCGCCGGCGCAGGGGGGGACCCAGGCAGCAATGGGCGGAACCCGTATACAATCTCGATCATGCGAGTATCTGAAAACTGGTGTGATCTCCCTTTCTTCCTCCCCTCTCTTCCCCCTCCTAGTGGCGCTGGCTCCGGCAACTTTTTGGTTGCGTTTTAGTTGCGTTTTCTGCCCGCGCGTTCTTCATGGATGCACGGCTTGCTTTCAGTTCAGGGAGTTCCACCTAGGCCACAATGGGTGCGCCCACATACGGCCCCCCGCCCTTTTCGCCAGCCCCGGTACGTTTTTCAAGCCCCATAGGGAGCTCCACCCAAGGCCTCATTGGCGTTGTTTGCATGGCGCCCGCCACCTCGCCCACCACTGCCGCATTCCGAGGCCCCCATAGCGAGCTCGCTCCACCAAACTGCCCCATGGACAGGGTTCGTATGGCGCCTACCCCCCACGATAACCGTGGCCCCACAGGGAGCTCCACCTCCGGCCCCAGTGGCATGGTTCGCTTGGCTGCCCTCCCCCATCCAGCGCACCCCTGAAGAGGATCGTGGCCCCATAACGTACGGCCACGGCCCCAGTGGCAGCGTCCGCATGGCGCCACCGCCCCCCCCACAGGGAGCTCCACACACGGCCCCAATGAGTGTGCGTGTGTGTGTACGCCTCGGAGGTCCTCCGCCTCTGAGTGCCCCCTCCTCCCGCCTCCGCGGCCGCCCCCTCTGTCTCAGTCACACCTCCTGCATGCTGGGCAATTCGCTTCTCGGTGTCCCCGTCTAGCTCTTCCGCTGGTGCAGCCACTCTGCCTCTAGAGGCCTCCTATATGGGGCACGGTGACCGCATGTATCGGCGATGCATCGTCGATGCATCGGCGACGTCGGCGATGCATCGGCGACGTCGGCGTTGGGAAACACGGTCTCCACGTCGAGCCGCATCGTCGATGCATCGGCGATGCGGCGCGATCCTCCGACCCCATCTGCTCGGACTCCATCTGAGAGGCCTGGAGCCCCGCCGCCGACGAACACCAAAGGGCGCATGCCACCCGCGCCCGCTTCGGCACGCCCATCATGCGGGTCGTGCCCCGCCACGGGGAGCTCACCCGCGCTCCGGCGCGCCTGCCCCGCAGCTCCTCGATCCCGCGCTGCCACGCGGCGCGCCTCATACGGAGAGAGAAGTCCACACCGTGCGCTGCAGCAGCTTCGTGTCGCGACGACCCTGGCGTTGGTTTCTGGCACCGCGTGGGTCGTTCAATCTTGGGTGACCAGCGGCTTTTCGATCGCCCGATCGTTCCATGCAGGCCGATTCTGGGCCACCGGCAGCGTTCAACCTGGAACGCCCGCGGCGGGATCGCCGCCGGTCGACACGACGCGAACCTACCGCACACGCAGCCGCAGATGGTTGGGCCCCCCGCCAGGCAAAGTCTCAGTCCGCGGCACGGTGCGCTCCCGGCGCCTTCCCCGCGGGCAGCCTTGCGCCCCGAATCAGCTGTTCATGGGCCCAGGGCCCAATAACGACCCCCCCCCAAAACCAGAGCGAGGAAAAGGAACGCCACGATTGACAAAATCACACCGTCGGGAAACCAAAAGACACCGATACCGCTGCGGGGAACCAAGAGATACCGATGCCGCTGCTACCCCAGACTTCGCCTGGGGTGCGTTCTGATCAGAATTGCGAGGCGAGTCCAGCTGCGGCGACGAGGGCCTCCCAGCAGGCCACAAACGGCAAAAACAAGGGAAGGGCAGCGGTAGAGGTGCTCCTCCCTCCATCGAGGGACCTCGATCCTCGACCCTGCCTCGGACCGGGCTGACTCGACAGGTCCGGGCGGCCGCCGGGCACGCGCAGCAGCCCTGCATCCAGCAGTTCGCTCCAGGAAGCCGTACCTCGCGTGCAGTCCCGCACTGGCCCGTCAGTCCACCTTGATGGAGCCGTAGATGCCCCTCACGAAGAGGAACGACGCGATGGCGCCTCCAGGCCCGGATCTCCAGCGACGCGCGGTTTCCACCGGGCGGCGCTGCTTTACATTCGGCCCTCGGGGGCCGTCTTCGGGCCACAGGACGACGAAACACGGCTCCGAGACGCAGAACTACGGTGAGGGCATTGGATCAGGAACCATTGGCTATGGAACCCAGAGTCTGGAGGCTGTAGAAACACCAATCGTGGATCCGCCATGGATATCAACACCGAACTCATCAAATACGGAATCCTCCATGGTCTTGAAGCCCTCTGAACACAATCCTTAACGAACGCACCCACCGTACCCCCGTGAAAGGGTCGGGAGCTCGAGGGCTGCGGATTGACGAATCTCACAAAGAGGAGCGACACGATCGCGCCTGCAGGGGGGGAGGGGATGAGGCGGAAGCATGCTGCTACGCATGAGCTTTTGAGAAAGCAAACCCTTGGAGGACTGCACGAGAAGAAATAAGGCGATTCGTCCCTATCAAGGGGCCAGAGAGCCAGGTTAGGGCAGATTCAGCCCAGGGCTTAGCCGGATCAGGCCGGATGAAGCGGGATTGAGCAGGACTGTGCCGAATTAGGCTGGCTTTCGACCACGGATATACCAGCGCCGATGCCCTCCTCCTCTCCTCCTCCTCCTCCTCCTCCTCCTCTCCTCCTCCTCCTCCTCCTCCCTCCTCCTCCTCCTCCTCCTCCTCTCCTCCTCCTCCCTCCTCCCTCCCTCCTCTCCTCCTCCTCCTCCTCCTCCCCGCCTCCCTCCTCCTCCTCCTCCTCCTCGTCCTCCTCCTCCTCCTCCTCCTCCTCCTCCTCCTCCTCCTCCTCCTCCTCCTCCTCCTCCTCCCACACCGCCCAACCAAAAGACATAAGTGAGCCATATGACCGCATGCACAAAAAAACGCGGCCCGATGTCAAACGGAGCCCGCAATGGGTCCCCAGCGAGCGCCGGGACGAGACCTCGTGAGAAAACATCAGCCGTGGAAGGACACCAAAGGGCGGGGCATGGGCCGGCACGACCTCCGACGCGAGTTCCTGGAAGACCAGGCCGAACCATTCTGCTACATTCGCGCATTCTGCCGCCATCGCCACCTGGAAGTAGACTGGAAAGATGCGCGGCAGCAGCAACAGGACCGGCAGGGCCAAACTACCGGCGGGAAAAGTCGAGGCGCCAAGCGGCCCAGCGGCGCCTCGTGCCCCTCCAGCGACCAGTCCTGGATGCGAGGCCTCTACCCGCAGACCTGGCCTGCCCATTGGGCAGGACGGACAGAGTGCGCTCCATGCCCTGGACGAACCTGGCTGACGATGAGTTCCACGCCGAATCTGCGACTGTGGCTCGGCGCCTTCCACCCGAGGAGGTGCCTTGCACATGTTCCACCTGCTTTCGCACCGATCAGGTGCTCCCCTTTCGGGCGCACCATCGCCCTCCCTCTCTTCCCTCGAGGCGTTCCATCCACCCCGGATGATGCGCCTCCCCTCCGCCGCGGCGCTTACCTTCCCAGCTGCGCCCCAGCAATAGCACCTGTTTGCGCACCGATCAGGCGGCGTCTTTCTTCTTTTCCGGAACGCCTTCCACCTCGGCTGGCACGCTCTCCCGCCCCCCCATCTGGGGCGCGCCATCCACCCTGGGTGGCGCGCCCCCCTCCCCTGCGGCGCCTCCCCTGAGGCGGCGACGCGGCAATCGCACCCGCTCGCGCGCCGATCAGGCGCGCCCTCTCCGCGCCTGGACTCGAGCCGCCTCCCGTTGCCTTGGCGGGAAGCTGCAGCAGCCTGCCGCCGGGCGGCCCTCGCGCGGCGCACGCGCCGCCCGCTGGGGCCCCGAGCGCCCCCCGTCCGCGGTGCGCGCAGGGAAAAGCCCAGCTGCCAACCCGCCTTGGGTGCTGGCGACTCAGCGCTGGCCCCCCTTTTTCCCGGAAAGGGCTCAGGCCCAGGGTTCTCTTTGAGTTGGTTTGCCCCCCAGTTTCGACTTGAAGGGGGCCAGCGAGATTTTTCTGCGCAACTAACGAGGTAAAGTGCGGATCTTCAGTCGAAAAAAATAGGAAAGTGCGCCCCCCATCTCGGATCCTCCATAAAAAATTGGGTCCGCAGACCCCCGTTTTCCCTTGTAAAAAAGAAGGTGCGGAGCGTTTTTCGCAGAATCCTATACAAATAACAAGGTCTGGAGCCCCGACCGCGACGCGGAAAAGCACCCCGCGCGCAGGAATTCCGAGGATGTCTCGCGCGTGCCGCGTCCCGCGCGCAGGAATTTCGAGGATGTCTCGACTAATTCGCTTGTTGTGTCAGGATTTCTTAGAATTTGGACAGGATGTCTCGAGCGAAACGCTTTGTTTTATAATTTGTTGAGGATGTCTCGAGCAAAACGCTGGTTTTGCAAAATTTGGGGATGTATCGAGCGGAGGCCTCGTGGGGGGCCAGAATTCAGAGGATGTCTCAGGCGAAATGCTTGTTTTCGTGTCCCGCTCGCAGGAATTCCAAGGATGTCTCGCGCGTGCCGCGTCCCGCGCGCAGGAATTTCGAGGATGTCTCGACTAATTCGTTTGTGTTGCCAGGATGTCCTTGGATTTTGACCGGATGTCTCGAGCGAAACGCTTGTTGTTCATAATTTGTTGAGGATGTCTCGAGCGAAACGCTGGTTTTGCAAACTTGGGGGATGTCTCGAGCGGGGGCCTCGTGGGGGGCCAGAATTCAAAGGATGTCTCAGGCGAAATGTTTGTTTTCACGTCCCGCTCGCAGGAATTCCGGGGATGTCTCGCGCGTGCCACGTCCCGCGCGCAGGAATTTTGAGGATGTCCCGTAGCGCGTCCCCTTGGCACGTCCTACGGTGCGACCCCATGGCACGTCCCTTGGCACGTCGCCTGGCGCGTCCCTTGGGACGTTTCGCGGCGCGTCCTCCTGGCATGTCCCCCTGTCAATTAGCTCTGGGGCAGCTACTATGTGTTCAGGCAGCTCGAGCTTCAGATCCAGATCAGTTCGGTCAGGACTCGGATGCAAAGGAAGACTCGATCCACGACGCTATAGAGCACAACCGCGGCATGGCACATCGCAATTCAGCACGGTGCAGCACAGCACAGCCCTCGGCACGGTACATCAAGATCGATACAATCAGCATTGCACTTGCCCGTCACCCAATCAGGTGTCTTTGAAAACGTTGCCATGCATTACATTTCTATATTCCTTTCCGGGGTCGTGGGTCAATCATGTTTGCCTCCCTGCCGCTTCTGCCAGGGCGGGGCGCCACTCGCCCTCAGCTGCGATGCGTGCGCGGGCTGGAGCTCGGGTCCGCTGCCCTCCCCGCCGCTTCGCCAGACCCAGCTGGCGAGCAGCCGTCTCTGCCTATCCGCCAGCTCCCTGGACGGCCCCTGGGATCCCGTGGTCGCTCTGCCGCCGCCCTCTTCGGCTGGCCCCAGGCCACCGCCGCTTCCTGGCCCCGCCGTCGTGGCTTTGCTGGGTGGGCGCGCCTCTGCGCCCCAGCCGCTTGCAGCACCGCTTCTGCACTGGCCGGCCCAGTGGGATCCGCGCCCCCCAGCCCGCCCAGGGAGGCCACAGCTGACGGCACCGCCCTCGCCCTGCAGCCCGCCCAGCATCTGCCCCGCCGCATGTTGCCGCCTGGGGCGCCGCAGACTTGCTCCGCTGCACCAGGGCATCGTGGCCACGGCTCTGCATTTTTCCGTTTGTACTTCCTCGTCGCGCACTGCAGCCTCTGCCCCATTCCCTGGGAGCGGTCGCGACGCCGCCCCGCGCCCACTGCCGGGGGCGCAGCACCGGCTGGCCGAGCAGCGGACCCCGCCGCGTGAGCGCTTTCCCCCCTCCCCCTGCCCGCGGCCACTTCCTCCCCCCTTTTCGCACCATTGCTGCTGGGGCACGAAGAAAAAATACTGGCAGGCACCGGAGAACCGAGGCCAAACAACGCCTGCCTTAGCGGCCCTCGCCCTCCATACAGCTCCCAAACGACGGCCACCGAGCTTGGGCATAGTCACCACCCCAATACACTGCACGAAAGGAAAAGCACGAAGGGCAGTGGAAAAAAAGCTGAAGGCACGCTCACGGCCTTTGTGCCCCTCGGCCCAGAATGTCCCGGGGCAGCGCGTGGAGCCAAATCTGCGGTGTTGCACCCCCGCCATCAGGATCTTGAACCTCAGGGTGTCAGTAATCGACGAGCTGTGCAGTTATACGACTCGACCAGATTGTGGATGTCAGCTTCGCGCAGCTGCTCAATGTCATGCTGCCGAAAAGTTTGCTATGCGGCGCACGCCCGCTCAGTGATTTGCCCCGTGGTCTCCTCGCTCAATACGTTCTGGTACTCAGCGCCATGTTTTGAGAGACCACCGAAGTATTCCACAACCTGCTTCACGACAGATTGTCGTGTCAGCCTCGTAACTGGAGTCGATATTGGCGTCCGTGTTGGATGGTGCACATGCTGGTGGGCGCTGGTGTCGCTGCTGCCGTCGGCGCTGGCGTCGGAGCTGGTGGAAGCGCTGTCGCCAATATTGGAGACGGCGTCGCTGGCGATGTTGGCGTCGGAGCTGGAATCGTTGCTGGCGTCGGTGATGGTGCCAGGGCTGGTAGCAATGCACGCTGTGGGAATGGTGCTGGCATTGCTGACATCCCGCGCAGGTCCGCCCCAAAGCTCTGCTCCGACGTAGGATCAACTTGCCTGTGTTTGAAGACCAGGGTACCAGTACCACTTTGGGTGTGCATACTCGCCAATGTTCCAACGGAGACCCTGTGGGGAGGTCGTGGGAGACAGTCGGAGAGCGATACGCAACTGTAACTACCATCGCAATGAGACCCAGGGTCAATCTGCGAGACGGTGAGGGGGCACGGCATAGATGCGGGGAACTTGGCTAGATTCGCAATTGCCTTCCGTTGGGTCGCGTATCGTCGCGACGTCACAGGTAGCGATCTAGATGGTCGAATCTGGAGGATCGGCACTCGCAAATCCTGGTAGTTACTCGTGCGACGCCGTCTGCATGTGCATCCGTTGTTACGTCGAGGCTGCATGAGTAGTAACAGTGATAATGGAATGGAATAGGGAACTGTCACCCATAGGTGTGGCAGCTGGGGCAGCTGCGGCGGACGGTTCGCCGCGAAGTCACTAAACGCGTGGTGCGGGGGATGCCAGCCCATCCTCGAGAGACGCTGCATTCGCGGTGCTGGTATTGTGGACGGCAGTGGCAGTTTGAATGGAACGGGGTAGCAGTAGCGGTGGTGATGGTCGTAGCCGTAGCTGGAGTGGTGGTGGAAGGTGCAGTGTTGGTGGGACTGGTAGTGCACCTGCCTGTCCTGGGCGTGACGTTGCTGCTGCCGCTGTTCCCCGTCGTGCTGCTGGGCGACGAAGTGCTGCACCACGTGCTGGGCGCGCCTCGACTCGTCGACCTCGTGGATGTCGGACTGATGTTGCTGCTGCTGGTCCCTTTCGTTGGACCGGGTACAGAGGTGTCGGACACCGCCGTGGTGTGGGAGAGCAGGAGGCGAGGGGAGGCGCCAGTGGAGGGGCGACGTACGAGCGCCCGAGGGTGGGGGGCAACCTAAGGCTTTTTTCCCGGAAAGGGCATAAGCCCAGGGTTCTCTTTTAGTGGGTTTACCCCGGGTTTGACTTGAGGTGGGCCGGCGAATTTCTTTTGCGATAAACATCGAGGTCGAGGTGGGCCGGCGAATTAAAATGTGAGGATGTCTCGAGCGAAACGCTTGTTGTTCATAATTGATTGAGGATGTCTCGAACGAAACGCTTGTTTTGTGTGATAGATTGTCCTCTCCTGGGGACCTGAATTCAGAGGATCTCTCAAGTGAAATGCTTGTTTTCACGTGCCCAGGTCTTGAGGATGTCTCGAGCGAGACGCTTGGTTTCACGCCTCCAGGTTGCCCAGGCAGAGGTCAAGCGCCAGGATTTGTTGAGGATGTCTCGAGCGAGACGCTTGGTTTCATGCGTCCTCGTCGCCCAGGCGGATGTCTAGTATGAGGATGTATTGAGGAAGTCTCGATCGAGATGCTTGTTTGCACGTGTCCAGGTTGCCCAGGCGGATGCCTAGCATGTGTGTTGAGAATGTCTCGAGAGATACGCTTGTTTTCACGTGTCCACGTCGCCCAGGCGGATGTCTAACATGAAGATGTGTTGAGGATGTCTCGAGCGAGACGTTTGCTTTCACGTGTACAGGTCGCCCAGGCGGAGTCTAGAATGAGGAGGTGTTGAAAACGTCTCGAGCGAAGCGCTTGTTTTCACGTGCTCAGGTCACCCAGGCGGACGTCTCACATGAAGATGTGTTGAGGATGTCTCGAGCGAACCACTTGTTTTCACGTGTCCAGTCCGCCCAGGCGGATGTCTAGCATGAGAATGTGTTGAGGATGTGTTGAGCGAAACAATAGTTTTCGCGTGTCCAGGTCGCTCAGGCGGATGTCTAGCATGAGGACTTTGACAGGATGTCTCGAGCGAAACGCTTGTCCCCAGCACGTTCCGGAGCGCGTCCCCTTGGCACGTCCGGCGGTGCGACCCCATGGCACGTCCCCTGGCACGTCGCCTGGCGCGTCCCTTGAGACGTTCCGCCGCGCGTCCTCCTGGCATGTCCCCCTGTCAATTAGATCTGGGGCAGCTACTGTGTCTTCAGGCAGCTCGAGCTTAAGATCCAGATCAGTTCGGTCAGGATTCGGATGCAAAGGAGGACTCGATCCACAACGCTATAGAGCACAATCGCGGCATGGCACATCGCAGTTCAGCACGGCGCAGCACAGCACAGACTTCGGCACGGTACATCAAGATCGATACACTCAGCATTGCAACCTGACACGTTCCTTGGCACGTTCCGTGGGGCGTCCCTTGGCGAGTCCCCCTGGCACGTCGCGTGGCGCGTCCCCTGGCACATCCCGTGGCACATCCATTGGCACGTTCCGTAGCGCGTCCCCTTGGCACGTCCCGCGGTGAGACCCCATGGCACGTCCACTGGCACGTAGCCTGGCGCGTCCCTTGAGACGTTCCGCGGCGCGTCCTCCTGGCATGTCCCCCTGTCAATTAGATCTGGGGCAGCTACTATGCGTTCAGGCAGCTCGAGCTTAAGATCCAGATCAGTTCGATCAGGACTCGGATGCAAAGGAGGATTCGATCCACGACGCTATAAAGCACAATCGCGGCATGGCACATCGCAATTAAGCACGGCGCAGCTCAGCACAGCCCTCGGCACGGTACATCAAGATCGATACACTCAGCATTGCATTTGCCCATCACCCAATCAGGTGTCTTTGAAAACGCTGCCATGCGTTACATGTCTATATTCCTTTCCGGGTTGGTGGGTCGATCATGTTGTTGACTCGACGCCCTCTCTGCCAGACTCTCTGTAGTGCAAGGGCAGGTGGCCGCATCGCTGTCCAGCCGAAGCTGGAATGCCCCTGCCAGAATTAGGCAAGGGGAAGGGAAGCAAAAAACCTATGAATCTGAGTTGTGCGACGCCTGAGCTGAGGAGGCTGGCCACTTCGGCTTCTGAGGGCCTCGACGATGTCGGCTGCACGAGAGACCGGCGCAGCCTGAGGGTGCCCAGCCTGGGCTCGTGATGCGGGCGGCAGAGGAGACCGCCACGGGTCACGCCGGACGGCGGGACCCTGCATTGCCAAATACTAACATGAAGATCAACGCCGCCTTGGTGGACACGGGGGGGGGACGGGGAGGGAGGCAAGGGAGGAGAAGGAAAGTGGTCCTCACTCCTCTAATCTCGCCCTGCTTATGTTAGTCCTGCTCATCCTCGCAGTCCTGCTTTTCCCGAATCCCTTCTCTCTCTTCGCCAGTCCCTCCTCGTCCCCTTCCCCTTCCTCCTCATCCTCCTCCTCCTCCCCGCCCTTCCCCCGCTCCAATTGAGCCAGTCAGGAGGAAGAACAACACCGACACGATGCCCATGTAGCCGAAGTAGAGCAGTGTAGGGACCACCTTGTTGATCGTCAGCCTCGAGCTCTCCTCCTCCTCTTCCTCCTCCTCCTCCTCCTCCTCCTCCTCCTTCCCCTCCTCCCCCTCCTTCAACTCCCCCTCCTCCCCCATCCTCCTCTTCTGCCTATCCTCACTCCTTCTTGCTAAACACCCCAACTCTGCCACCTAGCCGGCCGATATGGACCGCATCGGGGTGTCAGATCCCGCCCATGATATGCAAACTTGGCGCGAACCGAATGAGGAGTCTCCACTATTCCAAAGCAAGTCAAAGCAGTTCTGAGCAGAGCAAGCACTTCAATGCAACGCATTGCTTGGCACTGCTTGACAATACTTAGCATTGCTTGGCATGCCTCGGCGTCACAGGACTTTAGCTTACCATTGTTTGGCATCGCTTGGCGCTGCTGGGCATTGCTTGGCGTTGTTTGGCGTTGCTGGGCGTTGCTTGGCATTACTTGCCATTCCTTGACATTGCTTGCAATGCTTATCATTGCTTGAGATTGCATGGCATTGCTAAGCATTTGTTGGCATTGGTTTGCACTGCTTGGCACTACTTGACACTGCTTGGCATTTCTTTGCACTGCTTGGCATTGCTTGCCGCTGCTTGGCACTACTTGGTATTACTTCGCGTTGCCTGGTGTTGCTTGGAATTTCGTGGCATTGCTTGGCATTGCTTGGTTTGGCACTGCTTGGAAGTGGTTGGCATTGGTTGCCATTGCTTGGAGATGCATTGCCTGGCATTGCTTGGTGTTGCTGGGCACTGCTTGGCATTCGTTTGCATTGCTTGGTATCGATAGGCATTGCTAGGCAACCCCAGGCATCCTGGGGCATCCCCGAGCACCTCCGAGGAACCCCTAGCACCCAAAAGATTCTTTCACAAACAAACCTGAGCCCCTTGGGCAACCAAAGCCTAAATGGGGGAAGGACACAATACAATATCAACGGTCTCCCTCACAGCATGCACTTGTTGTCGCCGACGCTGCAGAGTGCGTGGCCGCTGTGGGACGGGGCGCACGTCGCGCGAGAGGGCGGAATGCTGCTCTCGCCTCGGAAGCACGCTCATCTTCATGACAACTGAGCTCCCGCTCGGGCGCGTCGCACCTTTCCCGCTCGCAAACTGTTTCTCTTCCTTTGCCATTGTGCCCTAATTTGCTTCGGCGCGGCCTGCCTGTGGCCCGACCGGCGCCTAACCGCTTCTGCACCCTTTGCGCCCGTTGGCTTACAAAGTTTGTCGAAGACGGAGTCGCGCTCGAGCGGGCGAAACGTAGCTCTCGCCCTCTCGCCCAAGCTGCGCGCCAACTCCGCCTGGAAGCGGTCCCGCCTCCGCAAGGCGCACTTGTTTCACTCGCCGTGCCGTCGGAAAGCGGCAGCGGGGCCACGCCCCGGCAAGCGAACTGCGGCCTTCGCCGGAGCGTTGCGCAGAGGTCGCGTGAAAGTGGGAGTGTTACAACGGCGCGGCGCACGCTTCGTCCCTTCTAGTATGACTCGACGTGTGCCAGCGCGGGAGGGGACTCAACGATGGTCTCAACGGGCGGTAGCACGCACTACCGAGCATTCAGCCGGTAACGACACATGGGTAGTGGGATGTAAGGGCCTTGCAGCCGTAAGGAACCAGTGCGGTCCCACAGCTTTATGATGTTAAGCTTGGAAAAGTGCTGTATATGTATGCGTGTATACATAAACAAACAGCATACATACATACATACATACATACATACATGCATGCATGCATGCATGCATGCATGCATACATACACAGACAGACAGACAGACAGACAGACAGAAATACCAATATATATATGTACAGATAGACAGACAGACAGACAGACAGACAGACATACTTATGTGCACACATACACGTGAGCCAGCGTGGACCCCATACATTGTTCTAGCACACGACATGGTGCAATATACATGTTTGAATTTACGTGGCGCAATGCATCTGGTGCAACCCATTCGGTGCAATCTACGTGATGCAATCTACGTTGTGCAATGTACGTGGTGCAATCTACGCGGTGCAATTGACTACCCTGCACCGTGCTTGACCACTCCACTGCTCGCGCAAACATCCCACCCACCCACCCGCAACTTGGTTCGCAAAATCTCTTAAGACCGTGACGGTGGGTACCAAATGGCACTTGCCAACGACAGCGACGCCGACGACGACAGCGACAACGATGACGACGATGCCGCCGACAACGACTACGACGACACCGACGACGTCTCAACGACGACGAACGACGACCGCGACAACGGACGACGACGACGACGACGACGCCGACGACGACGACGACGGAGGGAGGACGGCGACGACGCGAACGACGAAGAAGGAGGAAGGACGGCGACGCCGACGACGACAACGACGAGGGAGGAGGGAAGACGACGACGACACGACGACGACGACGACGACGACGGCGACGAAATAGGAGGGACGACGACGAGACGCCGACGACGGACGACGACGACGACGAGCGAGGAGGAGGAAGGACGACCACGGCGACAACGACGACGGAAACGACCACGACGCCAAAGAGGACGACGACGACGAACACGAGGAAAGACAGAGGACGACGTCGGCGACGACGACGACGACAACGACGCGGGAGGAGGGAGGACGGCGACGACGACGACGACGACGACGCAAGAGCGCGCGCGCACGCTTTTGTTGAAAATCCGTGTTGCGAAACCTTGGTTTTTTGTAGGTTTTTTGGACGCGCGATTTCGAAATCCTTCCGAAACCGATGGGTTTTGAAGGATTTCGGCGTACGCGCGCGACCACGCGCGAGTCTGCACTTCGTCCCATTTTTTGCAGAGGATTCCCGCGACGGTACACGCGCAAGGGCGTTCGACAGATTTCGACACGCGCGCGCGAAGCCCGTTTGGTAGCATTTTGTGAAAATCTTGAAAAACCTATTGGTTTTCTCAAGATTTCGCAAGAGCTCGCGCGGAAGCTTTTTTAGCAAATCAGTGTTGCGAAACCATGTGTTTCTGTATGTGTTTTGGAAACTCGATTGCGAAATCCCTCCAGCACCGAGGGTTTTCGAAGGATTTTGGCATGCGCGCGCGACGACGCGCGCGTGCGCACTTCGTCTCATTTTTGGCAAGGGATTCGTGAACAAGTGTTATGTTAGAACAAAAAATGTAACTGAATAGTGTTTTTTTACAAGGGACCCTCAGGGGAGGGGAAACCGGCCTGCCTGGGATGGTACGTTTTCATATTTAGGATGGACGAGTGTGCAGAATATATATATATATATATATATATATATATGAAATTATACTATCCCAAGGGGAGGCGTTAAGTCCGGGGGGGGTAGAGTCTATTCTCTTTTAAAAAGGAGAATTCACCTTGCCGAATTTGAAATTGTCGACTCCACTGTTCGCACAATCATCCCACCGGCCCATCCGCAACTTGGTTTGCAAAACCCATGCAGAAGCGATTGCGATGAGTGCTTGCTGTTGGCTGGTGTATCTTTGCGGCCGCACTGATCCTCCCATGCTCGCGTGCGCAACAGCCAGCTAACTTGGCGAGACCGCCGCGAACGCGGTGGCGCTGACCGCTCGGCACATCCCAGCGGGCACTTCAGTGCGAGTCGGCGACCTGGGCGGGCACGGTATCATGGCAACGTCGACAACGGTAGACACGATGACGATAGTAGCGATGCTGGTGACGGTGCTGACAGCGACGACGGGGCAGCCAGTGACGGCGCCGATACTGATCACGCCGACGACGATGACGGCATCTTTGCAACGGTGATGAAGGTTTTGGAAGGAGTTCGAAATGTGCGCGCGGCAGACGCGCGAGAGTGGCCCGCATGGCATGATTTGACACGGTCGTGCCACCCCAGCACGCGCGCAAGGGCGTTCGAACGATTTCGACATGCGCAAGCGAAGCCCGTTTGGTTGCATGCTATGAAAATTAAATAACGAAATCGAAGACGGCCGGCGGAATTATGTTTGAGGATGTCTCGAGCGAAACGCTTGTTTTTTCCCGGAAAGGGCCTGAGCCCAGGGTTCTCTTTTAGTTGGTTTCCCCCCGGTTTTGACGGCTGTAGGGCCGGCGAATTTCTTTTGCGATAAATAACGAGGTCGCGTAGGGCCGGCGAATTAAACATTGAGGATGTCCCTAGCGAAACGCTTGTTTTTCAGAAGTTGTTGAGGGTGTCTCGAGCGAGACGCTGGTTTTGCAGAGTTGGGGATGTCTCGAGCGAAACGCTTGGTTTCAGAATTTGTTGAGGATGTCTCGTGCGACACGCTGGTTTTGCAGAGCCGACCGCGACACGGAAAAGCGCCCCTCGCGCAGGAATTCTGAGGATGTCTCGCGCGTGCCGCGTCCCGCGCGCGGGTATTTGGATTTCTTGGGATTTTGACAGGATGTCTCGAGCGAAACGCTTGTGTTTCATAAGTTGTTGAGGATGTATCGAGCGAAACGCCGGTTTTGCAGAGTTGGGGGATGTCTCGAGCGAAACGCTTGCTTTTCAGAATTGGTTGAGGATGTCTCGAGCGAAACGCTGGTTTTGCAGAGTTGGGGTATCTAACATGGCGTCGGGCCCAACGCCAAATTATGAGGAAAAGTGATGGCTTCTTGCTCTGAGCAGGGGGGTGCGCTTTGGGGGCCTCTCCAGGGAAGACGTTGTGAGGATGTCTCGAGCGGGAGCGCGAATTCAGCGTATCCAAGTCACGCAGAGGGGTATCTAACATGGCTGTCCCGAGCTGGAACCACGTGTTTTTTCATGCTCAGGCCACCCAGGGAGATCTCTAACATGATTGTCCCGAGCTGGAACCACGTGTTTTACGTGTCCAGGCCACCCAGGGGGTATCTCTCATGGTTGTCCCGAGCTGGCACCGTGTTTTTACGTGTCCAGGCCACCAACACGACGCTTGTCCCCAGCACGTTCTGTAGCGCGTCCCCTTGGCACGTCTCGCGGTGCGTCCCCGTGGCACGTCCCCTGGCACGTCGCCTGGCGCGTCCCTTGGAACGTTCCGCGGCGCGTCTTCCTGGCATAATTCCTTGTCAATTAGC